CATGGATGATAGAATGTGGGCGTGTCCCGTACCCAGGCACCGGCGTTTGAACGACGCACGTGCGACATGGGATGAAGGAAGCGGGTCAGTATACCGCGGACTTGGCTCATGGATCGCCTCAGGCCGGCATTGGGGGCGGAAGTGTGGCTTGGTAAGGTTTCCAGATGTCATCTGTCGCGTTCATCAAATCTGCGGATCGCAATGACGAGAGATGTGATGATTGAAGTGGAAGGAGTGGTATGGTCCGGCGATTGACCGAAGTGTGTCATGGCAGTGGTAGGTGACAGCGGCAGATAATTGAGCTACGGTTGAACTTGCGGTTGATGGCGTTGCTTGGCGCACCGCTCAGCTCCCACGAGGGCGACCACGAAATTCATACGTTAGCGTCGGTGTCCACATGTCAGTACCATTTGCGGCACATTGCCGAGGTCTTATCGTAGTGCCACTTCCCAACCTCCTACAAGACGCACCTCTGCTTCCCACCTACCCTCCCAGGACACCGCATGCAAACCTCGTCACGAACGCTGTGTACGTCATCGGCGCTGCCCGGATTTTCTCACGTATCTGAGAATCGACACAACCCCCCACTCCTGCGACGGGTGACTTGTCAGCCTGACGCGGCTGGTCTGCCGTCCTCGATCACCGGCGTCTATCAGCCACTTTATTGTAATTTGGGTACACGCAGCGCACGTACCCAATTGCGATACATACGCATCGGACATATGCGAGCGAGCGTAGCACGCTTCAAAATGCTCTAGGAGTGTTCGTCAGGGTTCATGCTCGTAAACGTACCGTCGCTTTAAAATTTGTTCTAAATACCAGATGTCGGCCACTCTCAGCCACCCGGAAAGGATATTGGATGGTCGGACATTCAGGCTACTCACAATTCTCCCTGCCCTCAATGGAGACGATCTATTGCTATGCGAATGCAGCTCTTTCGACATTCACGAGGCTCCTCCGTACGAAGCGTTGTCTTACGTATGGGGCAATGCGACACCAACTGCCAACATACGGTGCAATGATCAGTGTATAGAGATTGGCTCATCGCTTTCGCAAGCACTGAAGAGGCTACGTTATCGAGAAGCCAAGCGCATAATTTGGGCAGACGCAATATGTATCAACCAGGCGGACGAGACAGAGAAAAGTCACCAAGTTCCGATGATGGGTAGCATCTATTCGTTGGCAAGAAGAGTCGTTGTCTGGTTAGGTCAGGGAGATGCGCAACAGATACGACTAGCCTTCGACTCCAGTAAAACCATTGCCGACGCTTGTCATGATCACGATGAAAGACACGGCATCATTACAAATTGGATCATCAATCATGAAGAAGTCAAACTCCCGGAAATCGCGGCCTCTCCGATCATACTAAGCAGCCTCAAGGAACTTTACCATCGACCTTGGTTCCGTAGGATATGGTGCATCCAAGAAATTCGCTCAGCTGCGGACGCGCTAGTCATCTGGGGAGATGACGAGATTCCTTGGTCAGCTCTGGCTATGAGTGCCAGATGGATCCTTGAGAGAGACTATCCTGCTGAATTGGGCAATTACGGAATCGCAGATAAGTTAGCGCTCTATGAACTAGACAGCACACATGCGGTCATGATGAGCGAAGAGACCACGTATCCACTACTAGAAGCGCTGCATACCTTTTGCGATTCTGAGTCTTCTGACCCAGTGGATAAAGTGTACGGTCTACTGAACATCATCTCACCGAGGTCAGAGGTAGAAGCTTTAGGCGTCGACTATATAAAAGACATTGATGAGGTATATGCCGACACGGTATTGGTCTACATTCAACTTTACGCACGACTGACCGCGTTCGGCTACATTGATCACCATATCAACTATGATGGGCCTGGTCCCGAGGAGTGGAGATTCATTGATCACGGTATCATCTATCATGGGCCTGGTCCTGAGGAATGCGACGACACTGAATACAGGTCGTGGGCCCCGCGATGGGATAGTGAGCATTCTGGTGTGCCAATAGGATTACCTGAAGATTCATGTCCTTGGAGTGCATGTGGAGAGCATGAAAGGACTATTACTGTCGGCAGCTTGTCAGCTCTGGGAGATCTCTGTCTCAAAGGCGTGACGTACAGCAAAGTGTCTGAGGTCGAAGAGGTCATGAACTGTTTCAATCTGTCAGATCCTAAGTATATCGGCGGCCCAAAGCCTACCAAGGATGCCAAGGATGTCCAGGCTATCGGCAATCCACCCAGAAGTCATCCATTCATCAAAGCTTTCGAGCGCACGGATGTCAAATCTTCCCCAGAGAAATTCGCTCGTACATTGACAACAGGTAGTTGGAGGATTGGGCCGGACCAGTACCTACAGCTTTCAGATTCGAGAGCGAGTCACAGCAACGCTTGCTCACGTTTTCTGCGCCGACTGATCAATCTTCAAGGGTCTGGTGATCAGGGTGTGTATGCTCACGATCGCGATTCAGATTTGTTTGAAAGCATAGCCTATAATGTTTGTAATCACCGACGCCTGTTTTGGACGGAGGAAGGTTCTTATGGTCTCGGTCCACAATGCATGCGAGTCGGTGATATCGTGGTGGTGTTGTACGGTGGTCACACACCCTATGTGCTGCGACCGAGAGGAAGCAAATATGTATTCATGGGTCAGGCTTATGTCGACGAAATCATGAACGGAGAGGTATTTCAAGGTTCCACCTCGGACATACCGGAGGAGCAGACTTTCTGTCTTATTTAGGTAATGCGATAGTCAATAATCATGAAGATGGAAAGCTACAACTGCAATGACCCTGTGAGAGACCCAGGATTGACGTGATAGCAATCACAGTTTCTCAAGGCGCTTTAATATGACCAGCATCTCCATCGCTGCCCAACCCCGTCGTTTCCTCATCAGAACTCGTCCGTTCCTCACTTTCAGAAGCCTGACCGCCACCCCTCTTAACCAACTCTCTCGCATACAGCAGCCGAATCGTAAGCGCAGTCGCAATCAACGCCGCACTCAAAAACGCCACCGTAATAAACCCCTTACGATACTGCGGCGCCTCAACCTGTCTCCAAACAAGAAGCGGCAGCCAAGCCTGTATCACATACGCCATCTCGTTCATAGCCGCGACAACGATAGCCCGCTCTTCGTTATCGTGCGTGCAGATCTCATGAGCCCATGCGAAGCACAAACCGGAAAGACCGCCACCGAAACCGGAGAGGATGTAGCAAGCCCACTTCCACTTGATGGGTATATCCCAGATTGCGAGGCTGGTGGAGCAGATGATGTTCATGCAGCCGCCGAAGACGATGGGTTGCCATCTGGAGCCTTTGAGGATACTGTCGCTCGTCCAGGCGTATAGAAGGGTTGTGACGACTTGCACGGCGTTGGTAGTGGTGGGGTACTTTGAATAAAATTAGCGCCAATTGGTGGTGTACAGGGATAGCAAAACTTACGGTATTGATCTCACTGACGGTGTACTTCGGGTCCTTACTCGCCTTGAGAAACTGCTGGAAGATCGGCTGCGATCCCATACTAGCGTTGTTGAAGAACACATAAAGCGGAACAAGAGCCCAGATATGCCACGACGTAAAGATCTTGCGTACTTTGGCCCTGGTATACGGCTTCCGCTTCTGCCGGCCTTCGAGTCGCATGCGCTCCTGCGCAAACGCTACTTCTTCCTTAGTCAGGTAGAAAGGCTTCGAAATCTCTGGTAAATCGGGCAGACAGAAGAAGCCGAGGACCGCGATGGGGAGCGAGATTATCCCGTCCACGATGAAGAGCCATTGCCAGCCTCTGAAGCCGCCTTTGCCGTCGAGCTTGTACACGCCTGCCATCAGGTAGCCGGAGAACATGGTCGCGATGGCACCGCTGGTATGGAATATGCAAGATCTCTTGGCGAGCTCTTCCTTCCGGTACCACGATCCGATGATGTATTGCATGCCTGGGTAGAAAGTGCTTTCGGCAAGGCCGATAAGGAAGCGTAGAGCGTAGATCGTTTCGGCGTTGTTGGCGCGACAAAGGCAAAACGTCAAGACAGCCCAAGTAAGCTACCAGTGTCAGTACTCACTTCTCAACCGAACGGTGTTGCAGAATCATACCTCCATTGCGGGTATCCAAATCGACGGTCGAATGCGAGTCAAAATGATGTTGCTGGGTATCTCGCCGATGACATAGCCCACAGTCCAACAAGTTTGCATGTAGTTGAGCTGGTTGCCGTAAAGCCCAAGATCTTCCTTCCTACTCTGATGTCAGCCAGTCATCGCTAATGGAGGTCAGATACATACATTCCAGAGACAAAAGCGCTGTTTATGTTCATCTGATCAAGGTACTTGATGAAGTACCCCAACGAAGCGAAAGTGAGTAGAGCGGCATCGAGCTTGAACATGAACCATCGCTCTTCTTTCGGCTTGTCCAGGGTATCCCAGAGGTAGTAGTACCATTTATGCGGCTTCGCCTTCAGCTCTTCGTTAGTTTGGATGACAGTTGTAGCTGCGACTGCTTCCGTCGAGATATCCTGAGGTCGACCCATCTTCGTGAGGCTTCAATATGAAGCATGTGTCTGGTGTCTGAAGCGGTTCTGGCACAAGCCTCAGCTTTATCAAGCAAGCAACACAAGGCCCTCTTGTCATGGCTAAGCATCCTTTACGAGATAGTCCGTTCAGCATGGCGCTCGGCGCGTCAGTGGCGAGTCGATAATGCGCGGTAGGATTCGTAGCGCGATTCGACATACTGGGGCTGGTATGGCGTTATGACAGGGTTCGCGTGGGGTTTGTGCTACATGTAGACAGTCTAGATTTGATACGCACGAATGCGAAATGCGTTGCCGGTATCTGTAGGTTCAAGATCGTCATGATGCATTGGAAAGGTGTGGCGTCATGTGTCGTGATCAGGCATGCAGATTGCGTGCCTGAGTCGCGCAATACCCATAACGAAATACGCAGAGATCCTCAACACATTCCATCTGATCATGTGACTGGAGAAGGCTCGTCTGCGCGACTGATCATTGTAATTGAGACATGGTGTATTCAGCCAGTATATCATATACACGTCGCTTCAAACCGCTTCTCAGTTATGGGGTTAGCAAAGAAAGCTTTCATCCTCCCAAGCTGCTCTGCCCTTGCGCGATGCCACTTCTCGGTATGACCATGCAACTTATCTTTGCCGGCTTCTTGTAGATCAGCATTGACCCAGTTCATAAGCTCGTTGACGTAGCTTGCTTCTTGATCTCGCAGACTATGGAACGACTTGCCATAACCTTTACTCTCCACGCGTGCGTTGTATTCCGACCGCATAGCATCATTGCTGGGGAGCTTGGCCTGGCCTGCGAGCACCTTTGCAACGACCATAGCTTGGAACTCGAACAGCGTGAAGGTGGCCGTGAAGAAAGGCACGCCAACAAAGGCGAGGGTCGGATCGTTGATGAAGAAGATATCTTTGTGTAGATTATGGAACTGTGTACCATCCGTCACCAAAACCGCGTCGTCGGCATGCTCGACTGGCGTCTCGTCTGAGGTGAGCTGTGGTAGGAAAGGCAGGGTGAGATAGTAGCCAGTGCAAAGTATCACATGGTGGATATCACAGATTTTTGCGCCTGACTTCAACGTGACGGTTGCCGGAATCGCTTCGTCGGGGTTCAGTGATGCTGATGCATATGTATTCGCGCGTGGTTCGTCGTACGATGCCACCTCTTCGATGCGGAATGCATTATCGGGAAGCATGCTAGGAGGTAGATCAAATTTGCCATTCCTTTGGCTCTGTAAAATCTTGTTTGCGTACGGGCTCAGTTCGCGAGCAATGTCCGTCGCGGATACACTTGCACCGACAAGTAGATAGTTCTGGAGTATTATCAGATCACGACGACGTCGTTTCGCTTAGTCTGGCGCACACGTACCTTATCTTGGGCATTCTCGGGCCTTCGGTAGCTTTTCGAATGCTGCACTCTACCAGGAAATCGTCGCTTCCACTTCGCCAGTCCAGGCGTATCGGGAACTCTTGGTGTGTGGTAATGACCGGACGCAATCACTACGGCGTCAAAATCCTAGCCCAAGATTAGCAAACTCCAGGCGCAGCCAATATCAAAATAATACTGACATGAACAGATACACGTCTTTCGAGCGCACCTTCCTGATCAGTCTGCAGAGTCACAGTCTCGACCGTCCACGATTTGCCGTTCTTCGTGACGCGTCTCACATCTGTGTCGTACTGTGTCAACCCATGCACCCCCGTGGAGGCAGCAGTAGCTTGTATATAGTCGCACAGGACTTGATGCGTCACATAATCCTCAGTCCCAGGCGGAAACGGATTCAAGGTCGTTTCCAGCAAGCGCGTGCTCACGTTGTTCTTGAGGCCCACATAACATGGACTGTATGCGGCCAGTCAGTCCAAAGTAGCGCTTCAAGACTATGTCTGTGGAACTTACCCAGGTGGCGCATGAAGCAGTCTCTCTGTCTCCTCCGTCTCTTCTGTCGCATGAGCACTATCAGCTCTGCAAACTTCGGTTCTCGGATACGGCGGTTCCAGAGGCTGTCGCTCATCGTAGAGCCTGGCATGCCGTCAGTCATGTTTGAGGGGCATAAACGATGGATCGAATACCATATGCCCCCTGCGGCACTCGAGCGCTCAAAAACGGTAACTTTGATACCCTCTCTTTGAAGATGAGCTGCAGCTACCACGCCACTGATGCCTGCACCGATTACAGCAACACTTTTGCAGCGGAACGACATGTTCAGAATACTGCTTGTATGCTGAAGGGATTTTTTCGCAGCTTCGCGCGTGCAAATGGAACGCGACTTTTCAGCCGACAGCAACACACGCAAGCCTCCCAACACTCAATCATGAATGCCATCTACCCACTGTCAGCATGCCTTGCTTGTGCCTCGGCTATAGCGCTTGTCAGCACTGTAAGCATCTCAACTGGGGTGTAGCTAGAAACAAAGCGCGATGGTGGATACGGATGGCATCATAAGCGGCCATAAACGCGTGGGATGCAAGCAACCAACACCGACGCACCTATTTGCGACTAAGGTGTGATCTCAGTTCCCGATACATTTGAAATGAAGCGAAGTTTGTCCGAGCGATAACAGGAGAAGCGTTGAATGGGTATTCGTCATCTGCAAGATTATGATGTGATCGCAACCCCGCAATATGTGTCGCAAACAACACGCGATGCAGCCATATCAGTCGACCACGCATGGGAGTCGGATTTGTGAGCGAACGTTTTGAGAAGTGGGGTAATAGAGTTCCGGATATAAAACAGATCGGACCGCGAGCGATGAGGTCTGCGCAACTGCATCACAAACGACTTTGACAATGGCTCCAATCGCAATCCCCGTTCACGAACACATTCAGGAGAAGGATACTGTCCAGCCGCGGAAAGACTCGCTGGGATTGCCAGAGCCAGCCAGGAAGAGACTCGAGAAGGCGGGAATCGATCTGTCGGCCGGCTATCCATACAGACCAGCAAAACCACTCTACCTTGACGATGTGTACAAGATCAGGGACTATGATCGTGAGCACATCGATCCAGGTGCCCGAGCCGATCCAGAGAAGCAAGCGCTGTTCGGTGCTGCGAAGGAAGTCATCCATTTGACCTCACACATCGGAACTGAGATCGTTGGACTTCAGCTGAAGGACCTTACAGACCAACAAAAGGATGAGCTTGGTCTTCTGATCGCCGAAAGAAGCGTGGTGTTCTTCCGTGATCAGGATCTCTCGCCTCAAGAGCAGAAGAAGCTGGGCGAGTATTATGGCGAAATTGAAGTCCACGTGAGTAGTTCTTCCCCAAAGACGCTTCACGCGCTAACATCGAGTGAAGCCGCAAGTTCCATTCGTACCCGGTGTGCCAGGGGTGACGGTTCTATGGCCCGCTCTGCAGGCGACAGAAGTGCCAGCCAGCTTCCGGAAGACGGGTGGTGCATCTAGATGGCACACTGATCTGGTACACGAACGCCAACCTGCTGGGTAAGTGGTAGTATCTTGGAAGGATTTTCATTTCTGACTCTTTTAGCGTAACCCATCTCCACAACGATACCATCCCAAAGATCGGAGGTGACACTCTCTGGGCTTCAGGCTACGCTGCGTACGAGAAGCTTTCTCCTGCTTTCCGGAAGATCATCGATGGCAGAGAAGCAGTGTACCGCAGTGCGCACCCGTACCTTGATCGTGATGATCCTAGTGCTGGCCCTAAGCACATCGAACGCGTTCATCCGATCGTTCGTGTCCACCCGGCAACCGGATGGAAAGCTCTGTGGGTCAACCGTGCCTTCACAGATCGCATTGTCGGATTAGACAAAGCTGAAAGCGACGTCATTCTCAACTACCTCTTCGATGTGTACGAAAACAACGTCGATATCCAGGTCCGGTTCCGCTGGACGCCAGGAACTTCGGCGTTGTGGGATAACAGAATTACAATCCACAACGCGAGTTGGGATTATGGAGGAATTGAGCCGAGGCATGGAACAAGGGTTACGTCGTTGGCGGAGAAGCCGTACTTTAAGGCTGATGCACCGACTCGCAGACAAGCATTGGGCCTCGCAGGACCTGAAGATGTTTAGATGGTAGATGGTGGATGTTTGAAGTTGGACTGTACGGGAGACGCGTTTGAGCGCGAAGGCGCGAGCTGAATGCGCTAGCCACTACGCTAACCCTATCGAGAACAAGCGTCATATGTCTTGGCATGGCATCATCGACCCCTTGATGCTCCCCTGTGCATGCGGCCAACGCGTGTCCATAGGCAAATATTATCATTGTTCGATGACCTTTACTTATCGTTCCATCAATATCAGCTACTGGTTATATCAGCAACTTACCAGCATTCCTCCACGCAAACATGTCCATCTCAGCGTCGCTTAGAACCTGCGCTTGCGCCAACTTCTTCACGAACGCCCAGCCATCAGTATTGCTGCTGCACGGATAGTCGACCGAATACATAAGCCTCTCGACTGGGCTTACCTGCCTAAGCTGCTGAAATTGCCTCATAGTGAAGAATGTACTCGTCGTGCTCCAGACATTCGTCTTCCACACCCGATCGAACGTCGTATCGTTGCGTCGTCCCGTCTAATCGATTCGGCCAGCAGACCTGGGCAGCCCTTCGCCGTTGTGTCCAATTATCAGCTTCAGCTTGGGGAAGCGATCGAACGAACCTGCGCCATAGAGACGCAACACGTGCGTTCCTACATCGACATGCCAACCTCACGAGGTCACCCCAAGCTTTCCCACCACGGCGACTGGGTAGTTGCCCGCGAACAACTTGGATGCGATATCTGCGGTCGGGGTAGCAGGATGCAGGTACAGTGGCACGTTGAGTTTCTGCACCATGACGAAGACTGGGTCGAAGCGTGCGGCGTCGTAGTACGTTCCATCTTTGAGATGGTTCCAGACCATCGCGCCTTTGAATCCAAGGGTCGTGCCGCTGCGGTTCAATTCCGCTGCAGCCTCTTCCGGAAGCGACATAGGCAGCACCGCGAATCCGGCGAACCGTGTGGGTCTGGACACGACCGCAGAGCGAACAGCATCGTTTGCTGCGCGGCATCCCTCAGGACCTTCCAAGCCTGAGGCAGATTGATACGCGAGGACTCGCATAAACAGATGGCCGGCGTTCATAGCAGCGATGCGCCCGGTCCCGACATACTTCAGCTTATCGAGCGTACCCAGAGGGCTGCGCTGCACTACACCTCCGGCGATCACCTCTGCTTCGAGCGACGGCGAGACAACGTGCTCTTCGAGGGCAATCAGGCGCTCTGGGAGATAGCATGGTTTGAGCTGGAGGCAGGCGGGCGTTTGCTATCTGTGCCTATGGCGAAGACTGCAAGCGTGCTGAGATGTGGGGCACGCATGCTGGGCAGACACGAAAGAGGACTGTCTGGGCTGGACACACCACGCGTGCTCACACAGGGTTTACACCCCATTATGCAGCTGATTTCTATCTGCTCCTCAGAGTAAGAGGAGAGTAGTTCCGCTGTGTCTGTGTAGACATGCATTTGCCATAGTGCCTCGTTCAGCTGTGTATGAAGAAGCCCCATCGCCTTTACATGGTCACTTATCAAACTGGTGCTGATTTCATTGGCTAAGCTTCGCAATCGCCAGCGTGGCGCTGTAAGCGAGGCGTTGGAGCGTCCCATCGAGACGGATCTAGATCGCGAGGCAGCCTGTTTCGCTGGAGTCGGCGATAGGGAAGTCGATGTTTGCGAGCCTTTGTCTGAGTCGGCCGTTCTTCGGGTGTATGTGCATGCAGGATTAGTAGGTGCTCGAGCTAAAGTATTGACGACGTCGATGTTCAACCAGCCGTACAGGACAGAAATCATCTCAGGCCCATGCGGTATTCGCTAGGAAATTGGTATTCGGATTGCATCTAGAAAACTTGGGAGTCGTGGTTGCGCTTCTCTTCCGCGGCCAACAACCTCAATGTACATGGCCTGCCCGCCAACTTCCAGTCACTGCGATGCCACGGTGGAGTTACTTGCAGCTGCCACGATGCCCCCGTCGCCAGAGTTGGTTCCCACAAACACCACCAGAACAGCAGCATACGACGCTGTTGAGACAAGCGCTTCGACATTAGAAGTTCTGACTCCAAACGATAGTACAAGCGCGAATAACAAGGCCGACACCGACACAGTAATGAGACTTTTCTTTTGCGATGTGTCGATAGCCATGACCAGCATCGGGGCGATGAGGAATAGTCCACCCGTGATTGCTATCACGAAACGGGCAAGGTGATCGACAAATGGTGACACGTCTTTGGGCTCTTTACCCTCTTCATATTCCATCGAGCGATCCAACCGCTCATTTTTGGAGTACGTGAAGTAGACAGGCAGTGTCCTCATCAAGTAACCGCGAAAAGGATCAGTTGTGGTGTTCGCCTCGTCGAAGTAGGCGTAGTGAGAATAAAACAATTCGCCGGTCCCAAACCTACGCTGGAACCACCGCTGGAGCAAAATTCTTCTCCCATGCATGTCTTTCCTTGCCACACTTCTTCGGCTTCGAAGGAATTGGTAGTCCCGAATTGCGGTAACTAGTATTCATCAGTTACGAGGCAGTCATAGTTGGCTGATGTTCCTACTAGCTCTTACCATAATCTTTGAGGGTATCTTTGAGGTCTTTGAGGTCATTGGCTGAGACACTCTTTGCGTTTTGGAACTGCTGTTTGAGTTCGAATAGCTCTATCTGCTGCGCAACGATGTTGGTCCGCTGGAGCGACTCAAATTGTAGAAAGTGAAACTCTTCCTCATCTTCAAGCGATCGAGCAACGTATTGCAACAAGTCGGCGTGGTTTTCTAAGTTCGCCATGAGCGCACGTCAGGACGTAAGCTGACTCTGTTGCATTTCCCGGCGGCCGCTGGTTTTAGAAATCTGCGTCCAATACATTACTCAGCCCATGCATCTCAGCTGCAACCCCCGCTTCCATGCCCCCCTTCACTTTTCCGCTCATCACTTTTCAGTTCTCAGAAGTCCCACTCTTAGCCATCAACGTTATGGGTACCAACCTTTCGACCTCCGCGCGTTCGCGCAAACGTCTGCCTATGCTTCCCAATGCTGTCAACATGAGCATCGCGTCGAGGGCCTCACGCTGCATAGAATCTAATCCCGCATCGACCACGGGTAGAGAGATAGATCGCCATCTCGACGCTCACACCAGGTTTCTCCGGGCTATAATGAAACCCAAACTCTTCCGTAGAGACAGCAAAGGACAGAAAAAGAGCTTGGAAGATTACAGCGTTGCTCTAGCGCGATTGGACGCGACATTGTCGAAGCTCTTTGAGGCATTATTGAAAGCGGATCGCCAAATGACGTTTCCAGATTGGAAGAGTAAGCGAAAGCGAGTTGCAGGTCTGCGGAACCGTCTAAGGCTGACGGAAACGCAGAGCTTAATTCCAGCCTTGTCGTTATACACCAAGATATGAAAATGACGTTCAAAAGGGCTGAGAAGGTAATCAAGTCCAAGGCACAGAACGCCAAGATCCACACCAAAAGCAGGAAGTTGCGACGAATAAGAAGCGACGTTGAAGAAATCATCAGGTCGATTCCAAAGAGGTCTGCACGTACACCTCCGCGCAAATACACTTGATCAAACGAGCACTCTTCTCTCACTACTAAATCTCTTATCATAATGCTGTTCTCGCCTATTCTCATTAGATATTAGGTCCCGCGACTAAGAGATGGGTTAATACTTAGTCCAAAAACGCAATCAATGCTTGCTTATAGTGCTGCTTCTCTATGTGAGTCGAACTAGATGATACTTCGACAGGATACGACATGGTATGTAAAAGCGCTAAGAATGATGGTGTCATTTCTCCAAAGAGTCTTTGAGTGAGTCTGCGTGGGTCTGAGTGACAGAGCAAGACCTCGTTACTGCTTTCATTATTGATAAGTGATATTCACAGGTCGGGACATAATGACGCTGCGCATTCCATCAGACCCAGATTCGCTTGCGCTACATTTGTGTTTGCAAAGACGAAACATTGTCAGCATCCCTGCGCGATCGTCAAGTTCTTGTATTCCTCAGCTTGTCACCGCAATGCATCCTGTAACTCCGCCTACCGCGCGAGCACTGTGCCGCGCCTCGAGCGTCGACAACAAACACTTGCAAAAGTTTCTTTTCGCTTCCAAGTCCGGGTTGTCGCCTGCAAGAACCATAGTATCGATATCAGCGAGTAGTTGCTTATAGATGCGCATTTCGGCAGCCGATGGAGCCGTCTCAGCTGCATTATGGGTATGATGTGCAAGCATGGTGACGAGCGCTGCGATGAGATAAGGATATACCATCCTGTGAAGAGATTAGTATATGGCAGAACGAGATAACGAAGCCACTGACCAGTACAAGGCAACATTGCCCCGAGGTGCTACTGGCAGTAAGCTCAGCAGCCTTTGTGCCTCCAAAAATGCTTTGTGTTGCTTCATCTTCGACATCTTGATCAAGCCGTCCAGCTCGAAGGGGTTTGTCTCCGAACTCATGTCCATCGCCGTGACCGCATGTAGTCGATAAACAGTTCCGAAGTAGTAAGCCTCCAGTGCAACACAATGACAGATATCCGCGCGGTATAGTATTTGTTCCAACTGGCTAGCAGAGAGATGAAAGATGTGATGTTGCTCGTGAAAGGCCTGCAAGCGTGCGAGCACGATGGCTGTGGCGGCGCTTAGGTCCAGCGGAGTTATGTTACATGTCTTGCGAGAGAGCACCTGGTCGATGGCTTCGGTCTGAAGTAAGGCTATCCTTGTGAAGAGCCAGAAGATATGCGCTCGCCAGGTGCCCTCGGTCGCAGTGAGCGCACCGAGCTCGTCGGCTACAAAGTCGGAGCAGTTGGCTACATCTTGAAGCTGGTGTGTTGGTTGCGTGTTGCTCAAGATGCTCAGGCTGATGTCGTTGGTGAAGCAGATCCAGAAAACGCGACGCTGGTGTGCGCCGTCACTCAGCTCCTGCGCCGTTGCATTGATTTTCTTGCCTTCGTTGGCTAGACTTCTGATGACACGGAGGGCGGTGGAGACGAATTGACCCGCTGGCTTCTTATTACTGCATGGGCTGGCGACGATGAGTAACGCAATACCGACAAGGCATTGTACCTGTCCTAAGGATGGCGGCGCTGTGAGAAGAGTGTCAAGTGTGGAGTAAGCGCGGGCAAGGTAGTACTGAGCCATGTCCATGTTATGGCTGTCACCAGTCGAACTCATGCCACGCATATGATGCGCCATACCAAAGACGATGTACGCACTCGTCCAAGCGATTGCCGAATCATCAGGCAGCCCCGCATAGCATGTCCGGAGGTGGTCGGCAATGACATGTGGTTGGTATAGTGGATAGGCGGTATTTAGGTCAGTCAGGAACTCCGCGAGCAGTGTCGTTCCGAGCTCCGGGGGCGGGAGATACCAGTCACTCGTTGGACTGGTTACTATTGGCAGCGGTGATAGACTGACATCCTCCGTCGGCCCCGTCCCAAATTGTGCAGCTTGCAGGAAAGCAACATCCTCTTGGAAGTTGGCGGAGGAATAGGTGCCATCTAAAGGAGTCTGCAACGAGGGATCTAAGGTCGAAGAGTCATGACTAGAACCGCCGGTAGACAACGCGCCCAGGTCGTCTGCAAACAAACCATCATTGTCTGGTAGGAAGCTTTCCATGTCAAAAGGGTCGAAGTCTGGAAGCAGGGGATGTGGGCCAGCCTCCACCTCATGACGTAAAGAGTCTACCCATGTTGAGATTGGGGGTGAATGTTCTGATGTTTGCATGACCGGTTGTTGGCGCACGTTTGGTTGTGCCACATTGCGCTCGTGTAGTAGCGACTCTAGCCTCTTGATCCGATCCTCATACTCAGATATGCGGTTACTGAATCATCGTCAATGAGAGTTCCATTTGCGAGATGGAGTCAGATCATACCCTCTTTGCGGTTTCGACCTTTGTTTGCGCGTGTACGTGGTCATGCACGTTTCTTTCAAATTGGTGCACGGCGAGCAGCCTTGAGGGCCGTGGTTCCACACGCATCTTCGCTTCCGTTTGCGACACAGATCACAAGCCTAGAAGACGCGTTAGTCCGCTGGTAGACGCGTGTTGACCGCTCGAGATGCGATGTTCGATGCTCGATAGCTGTGGGCGGATGTCGTGGCAGAGTCGCGTCTGAAGCGGAAGCAAGGACCCGCGAGCGGCCTAGGCCGGATAAATGCTAGCAAACCTACTTACTCGCACAGTGGACGCAGACCCGCGTTTCTCGACGCCACTACTCGACATCTTGAGTTGCCTGATGAAATAATGAGACCAAGCTATGCTGACATGCTGTTCGGTCAGGTGTCTCTTGTCGCTAGCAGAACGGCCGATCCCCGCCGCCCAGTTCGCTGACAAATCTAAACTAGTCACCACTGCCATACAAAGGCTCACTTTCTTCGAACAACTACTACGAAGAGCTAGTGAATAATATACCCAAAGATCGCAATCGATAGGATAACACGTTCATTGGCCATTGATTGACCCAGCTTTCATACTTCAATAATGAGTGCGTTTGCACAAGATTACACGCCAGACGCGCCTTCTATGTTTCGCTAGTACGCGAGACCGAGACCGAAAACGACCCATCACATTGGCGCAAACACCCTTAGTGCCAGATTTGTAGACTGCAACAAACAGCTCGCGCACATTGTCTTTTCCGTGATTCTTCATAGTATCATCGAGTCTGGTGGTCTTCTACTCACGCAGGCAACCCTCATCGAACACCAGCGAGTCAAGAAATGAAGGTCATTGGAGGCGCAGAGAACTTCTGGCTATACTCCGAGAAGGAAGGCTACGACATAACGCACCCCGCCGCGCCCAATAGCCCCAAGGTCTACCCTCGCATGACACTACGCACACAGGACTCGCATGCCATCATTGATCCCACCAAGACAGCGCTAGTAGTCGTCGATGTGCAAAACTACTTTCTGTCCCCAGCATTTGGCCGGCCGTCGAACAGCCTGGGTTTGCAAGTCGTGGAAAGGCTCACCGAGCAAGCGATACCAGCATGCAGGAAGGCCGGAATCCAAATTCTTTGGCTCGGTTGGGGTCTCACAGATGAAGACATTGAGGCCATGCCCCCTGCGATTGTCCGTGGTTTCTCGATGGACACGAACTTCGAGGGCGATCGTGAAGTACCTGGTCTTGGGACGAATGTTGGGCCCATAACGCTAGATGACGGATCTACGGTCGAAGGCGGCGCCGTTCTCATGCGCGATCAATGGAATTCTCAACTGTACAGTGCTTTGGAGAGTTTGGCCCATCCTGATGATTTAAGAGTTTGGAAGAATCGACTGTCGGGGTTTTGGGGAGGCACCAATGTCGAGAGTGTGCTGAAGGCTCGCGGTACCAGGACATTGATCTTTGCAGGCTGCAACACTGACCAATGCGTTGCTGCTAGTCTGACCGATGCGGTCTGGAGAAATTGGGACTGTCTCTTGCTGAGCGACGGAACTGCTACAACCAGCCCGAAATTTGCCCAGGAGATGGTTGAGTTCAACATGGGAGGATGGGGATTCTTACTGAGCTGTAAGGATCTCGTTGACGCTGTGGGCACACTGGAAAAAGGCCCGAGTGATGGGGGTTGAATGCTGCGATGTGCGAAGATGAAGTGCAACGGGTGCTAGGAGGATAACACAAAGGCCCTTTTACACTCATGTGTCGAAGCAGCGATGCTATCAGTCTATGTTTCACAAGCCAAATTTACTACTTTATATGGAAACTACTCTTAGTATTTTCATCTGTCTCTTATTCATCAGAGACAGAAGGACTGATGATGTTCAAACGCACTTTGCTGCTCCACCAGCACTCAAGAATGCAGGCTGGTGACATGTACAACCCGAACATCTGACAATCTCAAATGAAGGCCGCGCAAAACCCTGGAAACAAACTCGCCATAGAGGTGGGACTGACATAGCGCAGGTGATTTGATAGCGATTCTTTTAATGTGCGGTAGTTTTCCCAGCGTCGAGATGAGCTTGCTGATTTCCGTTTCGTACAATCCCCAAGTGAGTAGCTGAGGCCGTAATGACGGTGTGAATGCGCGTGGGCATAGTACAGGTTGAAGGTCTATATCCTGAATCGCAACTGATACATCGGTGACATGCGGGAGGAGATGATTAGGCGTTGCGTCTACCCAGACATATAGCGAGAGTTGACCCGGGAAGTTGATAGGTCTCTGGTAGAGGAACTTGCGCGCTTCTCGCTCGATCTGACGACAGGTCTGAAGTATTTCTGGGCCTTGTTCGGGCGATGAGAGGATGTTACGGTAGATCTGTTCCCGCAGTTCCGCTGGTAAATTCAGCAACCGATTTCTTTCTGGGGGACGAGGTGCCGTGGATAGTCTTGTATCATTGGCACTGTTCGCATGACGTGATGTTCGAGCCATTCTCGATCTCCCGGTATCCGTGTGCGATTCGCTGGTATCTGTGATTTGGTTCGAGTGCTATTGCTAGTACGAGGCAATCTCGAGCATCCGTAGAAAGGCCCCCGGATGAAGTGCCGCTTCACCAAGATCAAATGCGTGGTGGGTTCGCCGACAGTTCGGTATGGGAGGGGTTGTACTGTGAGCTGTAAAGTGGTATGGAAGTGCTAGTGTAGCTTCGATACTCGAGAGTCTGACAAGACCGACGAAACAAGGTCTTGATCACTGGACGTAACCCAAAACTTATAGAATGCCGGCATGCAAGTAGCAAGCGTAGCGAGGCCTCGATTTGGCGTATCATCGAAGTCGTTGCATAGCCGATACCCCATTTTCACAATACAGAACATCGCGACGAGTGTCCAGATCAGCCCAAATCCGAACGTGAGTCTGTTCGAGTTCAGCAGTATCGGTAACGAACCGAACATATGGCGTTATGCTTCGACTGAATGCGGTAAACGTGCCGCTGATCGATGGCTTGCGACCGTTTCCAGAGTACGATACTAGCCCAATGTGGATGCTACACCACCACGCGGATTTTGTAGCGTTCGAGGCGGAGGGCATTGGCATTCCCGGCATATACCAAGAGTGTGCCGTGCGAATATGCCATGGATCAATCCGTCACCCTATTTGAGCATCACCTTTCGGAGTCTTTGCCGTATTCCACTCAGATTTAAGTTGGATGATTGGCCATACCGGACTGAAGTGATAGCCTTATCAGACATGACTAGAGCCCTGCAGTGATCCAAGTCAAGGACTTGACACGCTGAAGATTAATAGCCCAGTAAGGTTGCAGACCCTTTGCGCAGATCGTACGATATGTGTTACCATGTTCGGCGTATCGGTATTGTCTTGCAAGGAAGCGCGGCCATCACTCGCTTGGTGTTCATGGGAAGATTGGATACCTACTTACCATGGATATCTGTCGCGCATGCAGTGATGGAGTTGGTCGACCAGGGTTTCCAAGGGAGCGTTCCAATAGAATAGTTGAGGGCCTGTTTGGAAACTCCCACCCGTGATTTTTGTGAATGCAGAGATTTCGACGGAAGCGGACAGGACACATTTAGAGTTCTCTTGATTGCCCAATAGTCCGCGGTCTGTGGTCAGGAACTCTCAGCTATGTGATTTCAATCCTGGGCAGCTTGATTTCCTTTTGGGGGCCAGTCCGTTGGTGTTTCGATATGCCGGCAGATGGTTCAAACACACTTGGCAGCCTTCGCGATCCGGGGTGCAGCAACGGCTGGTACAGCGATCTGCGGAAACGTGCGTCAGGTTGGCTCGGTCTGGACAAGGCACTGTGACAGTGAGATGCGTATTGGTAGTTGATGCGTGATGAACCTTCATTATTGATGGCGTTTCCATCATCCGATATGAGTGGTGCAGGAGGCGTGAAGTCGACCTCGGGAAGGCGCGACTTGGCGCTGACGCAAAGATGGCCCCACTTCAGCCCTGAAGGCACCTGCTCGATATCACATCGCTCCATTTCGACCGCCTGTAAGCCCACACAACAAGACCTGTCCGCATCCATGATTATCACGGCAAATTAAGCTACAGGTTGAGCACCTTGTTCGCCGCTTCAAGTGGCCTCCTCTGGCCCCCCTCGCAGCTGCCTTCAGACATGCGCTTTTCGGCCCAGTCCCGCTAAAAAGGGAGGAACATCAGCCACATTATCCATCAGGCTGTCTCGAACTGAACATGGATCCAGGTCTATGAGGACTTCAGTGCAGTTCAGAACGCCACTGCGGTTCGCTTCTTCAAATCGACTGACCGCGGCAAGGAGTCTACTTATCTGGGCCACTAGAGTCCCCAGCCCGAACAGGCTTCCATGTCACATTTACTACACCAGCTCGGTCGCGAGGTGCTACGCTCATAGCAAAAGCAAAGGGAAAGCATGCCGGCTGACAAAAGATCGCGCAACGTAAACTTTCGATTCTAAATGTCGGCTAGAACCGCGTCGAAGCCTCTCCGTGATGCCTATGGCCAGACGACGACCCACGCCTAAAACACCACCAAACGCCATGCACTTCCCAAATCGCGATGAATATATCAGAATATAGATTACACTGGAGATTCTAGAACTATCCACGCTCGTGGCCACTACAACGTGGAATCAGCCATCCCGCCTAAGACCGCACGCGAGATATCCGCCTCACAGTCGTACGAGTGGCTTCGCCCAAGCGACACGACACCATCACATGTACTCCAACGCCTCATTACCCTCACTCAAAAGCCAGCTGTGGTAGCCGAATGATTTGAACGGAATTTCGCAACGAAGTCTATTCCAGCTCAGATCGGTAGGCTACCGAAGAGGTCATGGCTTCGTCCTCGGCAAAGCAGTGAACTAGCTCCTGCCTGTCGTTGTTCCCACTCTAAGGCATGTTTCTTTATGAAGCCTCATCCTAGGCGTCTGAATGTCATCGGCAGGTCTCTTCCTTTCCTTGACAGTCCAGCAAAAGCACTCCGGGCCGCAAAAGTCACACTCCCAGTCATCTCTTCCCCTGCATTCTCGCTTACATCCCTGAACAGGTCCCCTTGTCGAGCTTCTATCCGTACAATCCTCCCTATCTTCTCTTCCGTCTTCTCCTTTTGCCTCCTCTTCACCATACGCTCTCTTAGACCAGGGACATGGCCCCGCGCCAGACGCACGACACGGCCCAAAATACGCCGCCGCATCCCACTCCCCATCTTTCTCATTCTCCTCCGCTTTCTTCGCTTCAGAGCCCGCGTCTGGTCCCTCCACTGTCGTTGGTGAGAGAATGAACTGTTTCGGTACATCGTGTCCAAACAGCCTCCACCAATCCGGCGCTAGACCCTTCAAGATGGGATCGTGATAGCCCTCCACATACCGGTACCGCGGTGGCGAAACAGTGTCCTCCGAAGAAAAACATTCGTGGTGAACAATGCATTCCCCTTCGTGGTAGAACCGTTCACACCCGTTTTCGTGCTTGCGGCCGAATAAATAGTCGTCATGGCGAACAATGCAGTCCCCTTGGTGGTAGAACCGTTCACAACCGTCCTCGTGCTTGCGGCCATAGGAGTAGTCTTCCCAAGCATCTGTGTATTGTTCATCGTACCACTCCGCGACTTCCTCTCCCGTAGCAGGATGCGCATACGGGTACCAACACCCCGGCTGCCACATGTCCGCTTGGGTGGGTGCAAATGTTGGTGGTAGTACCATGTACCCCCCTAGCTGTCGTTGAATACTATCTTCGCTGAAAGCCGGCATGGTGTATGGTTGGTATCCTGCTTGAGCATGCGCTGCGTCGTGATAATGCATATCGGGCGTGGTGTCCTGGGCGCTTGAGTTGCGAGGAGACTTTCTGCGGCGGTTTGGATTGCGCTTTGCCATGGTTGGCGTGTTTGATGATTAGGGCTCTTAGGCAAGGACGGCGTGATGGGGTCACGCCAACCTAGGAAAAAACTGAACAGCCTAGAGCCTACGTTGACTTTAGGTCACCTACTTTGCAAGTTTTTGTTCTGATGTAGTCTGTAGACCTGTTCAGTTTTTTTCTTCTATGTGGTAGGGTTGTAGATGTGAAAGTGGATGTGAAGATGAGGCTCGTGCTTTGTTCACAAGAGTTTGTTGAACGCGTAGAGTATGGAGGGAGGTAAGAGCCGTGATATTGTAGATGTTGAAGAGAAGACTATTGTAGAAATATAGTTGTGTGTGCTGCAGAATTTATTATACCATTGACATTGACGAACATGGTCCTGCGTCGCATGCAACCATGGGGAACTGTGAAGAGAACCAGAGTTGCGGATGTGACGTGAACCAGACTTTGACAGAAAAAGCATCATCTAATTGACTGCGTGATATATTTCACATCCATGGGATTGTAATGATGGAGTGGTGCATAACAAACCAATGGCATTGTCACATATTGAAAGTCGTGACTATGACCTACCAAACGGGCTACCCTAGTTCAACGTCGCCGCGCCGAACCTCCATGAGCGCATGCAGACCACGCACTTTCATCCATACATCTCCATCTAAGCAAGTTTCCCATCCTTAACCTTATACAACACAGACCCACTCCCGGGCTCACTAACCACGATCGCCCCCTTCAACTTCTCCTCGCTGATATCCGGAAACCTCTTTTTATAATACTTCTCCACCCACGCCTTCTTGACCGCCTCAACCTTATCTTTCGGCACAAGATGTACACTGCATCCACCCCAGCCCGCACCCGTAAGCCTGCTGCCACAACTGCCAGCCGCACGTGCCAAATCGCACAATTCGTCCAGCTCGGGACAACTGCAGTCGTAGATCTCGCGGCAGGAATCCTGTGTCGTGTTCATGAGATCGCCGAGGGACTGGAGGTATGCACGGTCGTTTGATGGGGGAGATGCGAGGAGCGATCGGAATTTGATCACGCGGAGGGCTTCTGTGAAGACGTGTAGGGCGCGCTGGCGGAGCATGAATTTCTCGGCGCGTACGGGGAACTTGGACATGTAGCGTTCGTTCAATTCCTCCTCTGAGATACCGAGCAGCCCGCTGATTTGCGCACGTGTGTAGCCGTCTTCTTGGGGGAGATAGTCTTCGGTGTGTTGGATTAGCTTCGTGAGCTGCGTTTCGAAGTCCGAGACGGATATTTTGGTGTTGTCGGAGACGTTCTCTTTGTCTTCGAAGTAGGTATCGTGGAAGCCGCGGAGGCTGACGCCGAGGGGAGAGGAGTCTGTTGGGAGCTCTTTCTTTAGGCCGAAGGCTTTGGCTAGGAAGACAGCTGCTAATGTGCATTCTACGACGCGCAGGTTGTAGCATACGGGCGCTGTGACGTGCTTGTCGGCGGCGACGAAACTCTGAGCGGTAACGAAGACGAGTTCGGGGTCGGTCTTGGGGAACTCGATGTTTGTGTAGTTTAGGCTGGGCTTGAAGGATACGTATAGGGCCGAGCCGCGGAGGGAGAAGACGGAGGCTGCTTGGTCCATACTACGACTTGTTAGCTGTGGTGATGCTAAAGGTAGGCAAGACTCACCCTCCAGAGTTAACACCGACTGCGCGCTCAGATACAATCGCAAGCTCGCACAGTTCGGTCTTGTCAATCTTCTCCTCACCATTTGCAGCCAGCACAGCCAAAGAGCTTGTGCAGACGACGGACGCTGAACTCGAGAGACCGCCACCACTCGGTACTGTGCCATCGCAGACAATGTCCATGCCAACGGATGTGAACTTTCCCCGCTTCTTTTGTAGTAATTGTGATACACCCTTCAGTCCAGACTTGAAGTAGTTGGTCCACTCGTGCTCGGTAGCGTCGATGGGGATCTCTCCCTCGGGAATGTCGAACTCGCGAGTGGGGAATTTCTCAGAGTTGAGGTTGGCTATCCGTACACGGGGCTTCTCTTCAGATGGCCGCACAGCCACAGCCATGATGAAGTCGGCGGTAATGGCCATGGGCAGAACCTCGTACAGGGAGTAGTCGATGTGCTACAATCATTAGCGACAGGTGATAGACTTCTGGCAGGCAATTTACCTCGCCAATGATGTTGACGCGTCCAGGACTCCTAGCGACAAAGTCGGCTTGCTTGCCATAGAGCTCTGTGAACTTGGCGAGTAGGCTCTCCCATCGCTTTGTCTCGACTGGGAGCGCGTCTTCGGGGTAAATGTCGCGTAGCGACGTTGCTGTCGGGACCTCCATTGCGCGATCTAGAAGTTCAGAATCGCAAAAAGCAAGAGAAGGAGAAATAGAAAGCAGGTCGAAGAGTAGGAAAAGCAGAGTCTATTAAATCCCCGGATCGTCGCAAGATCTCAAGAAACGTACGGCGGGGTCCAACTGACGACAAGTGGGGTTCTCAGACCTTCCCGTTTTGAGAAGCGCATCCGCATCACCAACGGCCCGTGAGCTGCATCGAGCTGCAGGTACGGATTTGAGGTCTCGTGTCGCGGTTGCTCGGGGGAAAAGTGCCGTGGTAAGATAAGCTATGGATGCCCGGCGATGGTAAGATGAGTTGGGCTCAGTGAGTCGACCCGAAATTGCACGATAAATTATGCTGACCTCAGCATTCGATACCACCACACTGCAAAATACACGATCCAGGTGTAAATGTCGAATGGGTATTTCATGTATGCGTTCGAGGTGAGGCGAAGGCGTGTGTGCAATCCCATCAACCCAAGCCTCTACCTCGTCCCCGCGGGAGCCCTCGTCCAATGCCGCTGCCTGCTCGACCTCGTGAGTCGCTGCGACTGATACCACGTCCGGTCTGTCCGCCTACGCCGGTATAGTTCCCTGTGGACGATGTCGAAGCACCGCGTGGCCGGACGCCCCTGCCTCTGCCTCGAGTACCTGCCCTGGGAGCCGCCTCAGCCTTTCTGCGATCCTCTTCTATCTTCCTAGCCGCAGCTTCTCTCCGCGCCTGCTCGTCTGCCGCTCGACGTTGTGCAGCCTGCTGGCGGTGCACCTCTTCCTCCTCGATATCGACCAAATCTTGCGACGCACCCTGCCATTGCGGGTTCAAGATTAGACGCTGATTATGTTCTGTTTGGGAAAGTATGCGCGTCCATGTTTGGAGCAAGGTAGAAGCGTTTTGGACGGTGCGTGATACGGTCTATTCATCGTCAGTCTAGAGACTGCGGCAGTTCTACTATTGTCCCTTACAGCCATGTTGTCCTTGGCCTTTTGCAGGCTCTCAACTACGCCCTCGATGACCTTGTTGACGTTTCGTATGCTCTCCAACTCCCTGCGCAATGCTGCCTCGCGCGCCTCTTCTGTCGTGTAATGCGACACCTTTGACCGTGTCTTTGCTGCATCATTGTCCGCATCTTTTGTCTGCTTCTTGGTCTTGCGTGCCGCGGGCGTGTCAAACAACGCGTCCGTGTCCGAGTCGGAGAGGTCAAGCGCGCCCAAGTTCGGCGGGTCCATGTTGTGCTCAAGGTGCTGTGTATTGTGTCGGACTCTTCTAGACGAATTGATTTGGTGAGTTTCAACGACTGACAGCGTTGGCGTGTTTGACGTATTTGGTTTGGCGGGGCCAGCGGTTAGCAGGGGTTTGTTGATGTTCCGCGTTGCGCCAAGGAAGGAGCACCAGCCATCTGCACCTGCCGTCCCAACCTCGCGACTTCCTTCATTCCCCGTCGTGACATAGCCCATTGTCTCCACCCGGCTTTGTCCTTCACCTTCACCATCACCAGCCCTACCGCCATCTCCACTTGCGCGCATATCGATACTGCATCCATTGTCATCCCAACGTTGAGGCGCTGCGACATCGAGCTTGCTGTGGCATTGTTTTGATTTTGGATACCCACAATTCGCCCTGTATTGCTACAACAACACCACAACTGCCCTATCCCAAACAAACACCCGCATCATCCCACCCAACATGGAGCGCACGCCGTCCCCGCCCCGCCGCGTCCACACGCCGCCCGCGCCGCTGTATGGAGACAACTACGAGCCGTTTTCACCGCGCCGATCGCGTAGAGTGGCCGCCCAGCACGACGCTCACACTCACCAACAGGAGCGATCAAGCCCACGGACCAGGCGCGACATCACGCCAACGGCCTCTTCTCACGCCAAGCGTTCTGCCTCCCGCGCAAACGCTTCCTTTGCACTCTCACCCCCGTCGTCGCCTGCATCCCCACAACACCAACACCTCCGCTCCCCACGCTCGACTCGTCGCGCGCCCTTGGACCTCAATCCGCTCGACTCTGACTCCGACACGGCTGCACCAAGCTCGTCCCGGCGCACCCTGTTTGCGAACATGGCTCCTGTATGTTACCCAAGGTGACCGCCTGGGCCCGATGCGGTTGACAAACAACCGCGTCGAGTGCCGGACGGCCTCCACACCCACTACAACCCAACATGCTAACTTCTTCACAGGGTATGCTCCCCACTCCCGCAAAGACGCCGCGCAAGCGTCGCATCGAAGACGTCAGCTCGACCGCGCGCGTATTGTTCCCCGCCAACCGACCTTCAACCATCGACGAAGCCATGCCGACCCCGCGCAAGGGCCGCAAGACCAAGAACCTCTACACTCTAGAGAGCTTCGCCCAGCAGATGGACGAGAACACCGAAAAGATTCCCATCTACACTGACTCCAAGGAGCGCGTACCCACTCCCGGTGCCCAGACTGAAGACAACCCATTCATCACCGTCAAGGGCAAGGGCAAGGCAAAGGCTGCTCCCCAAAAGTCAAGGAAGGTCGTCGACCGAAAGACTGCCAAGATGGAGGCGGCTGTCGACCGTGACGAGGGCATGGTGTACATCTTCCGGGGCCGCAAGGTCTTCCGCAAGTTCCACGACGACGCACCCTCCGGCGCCTCAGCGGCAGAGGAAGACGATGACCTCTCCGCCGATGACAAGCAAGTCCGCCGCCAGATTGGCTATGAGGCCCGTCGCCCGCTCACTCGTTCGTCTATCAAACCCCGTCTTCTGTTCCAAGCAGAGATCAAAGAGCGCAACCGCGCAAACGGTGTTGAGACCGACGACGAGGAGGCGACCACCGACATCGATGCGTCCGTCGCGACCCCGAGCCGCAAGAAGGGCAAGAACGCCGTCCCAACACCATCGCTGCTCACATCGCCGCCACCTACGACCCGCAAGCTCAAGAAGGGTAAGTCTCATCGATCTTCGCCAGTGAAACCCCCGCTTATACAGTAACAGAGATCTCGTTTGATTCATGGTCGCGTGTCAAGTCAGCGCACAGCTCCAGCAGCAGCTCCACCAAGACATCCAAGAAGCGCAGCGGTGAGCCGCTCGAGCGCGAAGCAGCAGACAAGCGGGCTCGCAGTGAGCACTCCACCTCATCCATGTCAATTGACAACATCTAACGGCCTTCAGCCCGTTCGTCTTGAACAAGTCTTCATCGTAGCTTGTGTTGAGATGCTATCACCAAGCGTTCCCAACTCCTCTTTTGCATCAGGTCCTTTGTGACTGATAGTTTGCATAGCGAGCGTTTGCTTTTTGTGTTCTTCGACCTATTGAAGTCGAGGATCAGGATCAGGATACCCACGATTACATTACGAAAAGGTTCGCATTACTGACGGCCTTTAATGTTTGTTTGGTACTGAAGGGTAGTGGACACCTTTCTTTGCCGAGAAGGCATTGTAATCGGTGTTTTCTCTGGGACATTTACTGGACAGCACGCATATGTGCGTTGGCCAGGGTAACTTAGTTAGTAAGTAGGGAATAGGCTCGACTGCGGAATCACGGTATGCGGTTGCTTGGTATCTGGGCGTCTCGATGAACAGACACCGAGCTGGTATACGGTGCTTAGCAGGTGAATCGATGGTAATGGGAGGATATGGAAGGGAACGTAGTATAGATCAAGGAAAAATACGAGTGATAACTCTGACGATGCTTATTCAACATGCTATACCGTGCTGTGCTATGCTAATATCTTACAAGAACGCCCTGACATGCAACAAGCAACGTCCTTAACGTGCTTTCCTTTCTGCCCTACGACCATACATCGATCTACCACATCTACTTGGCCTTGGGCTTGACACTAAAAAAACTACTCATCTTCTTCATCCCGCTCGTATCCACCTTCTTGAGTGCCTTGACTCCTCTCCCTTCACTCTTCTTCTTCCGCTCCTCGTCTTCTTTCTTCCGCTTCTTCTCTTCTCGCTCGGCGATCTTCTCTTCGTCTTCCTCGATTGCCCGTTTGCGGGATATGTTGTCGGAGATGGAGCGCAGGGAAAGGGCTTCGGATTTTAGAGCGGAGATGGCGGAGAGGTGGGTGTCCAGGGGTGTGAAGCGGGGGGATAGGAGAGCGAGTAAGGGGGTGCGGAGGGAGGGAGGAATGTAGGAGGAGAGGAGGTAGGTTAGGGATGTGCGGAGGCGGAGGAGGTGGGGGATTTCAGCGGGGGTTGTGAGGGTGCGTTTTGAGGGGGCGTCGTCGGGGGTTGTGATAGTTGTTGTGACGCTCGTTTGCGAGGTCGTCGTTGTGTCGTTCTCCTGCTCTGACGCTGCGTCTGTTGTTGAGACAGTGCTTAGTGTGCTTTCCTCGCGCTTTATGCTCATGACAGGTATCTCTAGGGCTGTCTTGATGAATCTCTCCTCCATCGACGGGGGAAGTCCTTTCTTGACCATGCGTTCGGCTTTTGAGACGAGGACTTCGAGTAGCTTGGGGTGCGAGAGGCGGTACATGGATTCTTCGCCTGCGTCGACTGTGTCGCATATCCTTCGCATCCTGGTCTCTATCATAGTCTTGAGGGTGGGGTATTGTGATAACAGCGCTTTACAATGTGGTGAAGCGGATGAGAGTGTGTCGAGGTAATCATCGAAGGCAAGGAAGTGTTGCTTCGTGTCTTTTGCTGACTTTGGTGTGAGGGCGGGGAGGATGAGGAAGAGGACGTCGATGGGTGTTGCGATGAAGAGGTCGGCTGATTTGGTGATGTAACCGTTGCCTATCCGTGAGGCATCTGCTTCCTCTGTGGTGTCATCCTCACTCTTCTCTCCTGTTATTAACCAACTCTTGAAGTCTTTCTTCGGTGCAGCGATGCGCGTGAACTCGTAGAAGCCCTTCTCAGGGCAAAAGTAGTATCGTGATGGTGTGTCGTTTGCGGGATTGTCAAGGCTGACTATGCGCGCGTCTTTGGATGTATCCTTCGGTAGTACGAACAGTTTCGGGGGGTTCGATGTGCTTGCGGGCAGCGGTTTGGCTGTGGTGGTGGCTTCGGGCGTGGATTCTTTGGGCGTTGCCTTTGCGGGTTTCGAACGTGTGCGTGCCATTGCGAGGTGTCTGCTAGTCCAATTGGGCATATACCGTATTGAAAGTGGTGTATCGAATCCGTGGTGGAATCGGAGTTCAGGCGCGTCGCGTGGGCGCAACCGTACACGCGCAATCCCTGTCACGTCACGGTTTCGGATTAGATTAGTCTGGGGTGAACCACAGTCCGTTGTCAACAAACGCTACGGGGCCGGGCTATGCGCTTGTGAGTCCTGCCTGACGATCGACTGTTTCCCATCTTGCTTTTCCCGCTTTCCAGTATTGGCGTTGCTATGGGCCACTGCGAGATAGCGCATCCGATATTGCACCATCACAACAATGATCGTGCGGGAGAGCCCCAAGTCAAAAGGTAAGTCGCCCATGTGAGTGTGCCCGGCATGCGCTGACTCTAGTGACAGTCAAGAACAACCAGCCCAACTGGCCCCCGCAGTCGCCCGTCGAAGCCCTTCTCAGCTCGCCTTCCGGCCGTAAGAGGTACGAGAGCCGCCGCCAGCGCGACTCCGCATCGCCATCCCCCTCGAAACGCCGCCCAATGTCGCGCGGAGGTGTGCCAGCCGGCAGCGACGGAGAGGAGGATGAGGAGACGCTCCAGCTGCAACTCCAGGCCATCGAGGCCAAGCTAAAGCTGAAGGCGCTGCAGAAGAAGAAGAACGAGTCCCAGGATCTGGATCGCAATGGAGCATCATCACGAGCGAGCATGGCCACCAGCATGCGCAGAATCGATCTGCCGCGGCCCGAGACCAGACAAGAGACCGACGTCGAGGTACCGCGATCACCAGTCCGGATGCGACAGGCGCCAACCGAGCCGAAGAGTCCTGCGCGCGTCATGTTGGGCATAGACAAGGGACTCACAGCCCGCGACGTTAGTCTCAAGCGGCCAGGAAGCGCTGTCAGTGGGCGCATGTCGCGGCTGGGCTCGTCGAAGGAAGTCGAGCCGCCCAAGATCAAATCCTTCAGTGAGCGCATCGCGGAGAGCAGGAACAAGGAGAAGGAGCGTGAAGAGAAGGAGGACAAGGCCGAACAGAGACGGAGTAGGGGGTTTGGGCTGCAGAACATCGAGGCGCTGAAAGACCGGCCGTCGCTATCACGAACCAGCTCTTCTCAGAGTACCGACACCAAGACCTCGCGCGACATGCCTCCGCCCGCCCTCAGGAATCACAGTCGAACACAAAGTTTACAGAACCGTACATTTGGGGGTCCGCCCACTCCAAGACCAGGCTCCACACTATCCTTCAGGCCTGAAAGCTCACGCCCAACCTCGTCCTCTTCCAAAGCCACGTCCAGCAGCTTTGGCTCAACTCCGACAGCCACAAAATACGCCGAGATCTCGTCGCGCGACGAAAGCGCCGATGCTCCTAGTTTCGAATCGTTCTCTGGTCTCCACCTTAAGTCGAGAGAAATGCAACACAATGTGGTCACCCGTACCCTGGAAGGCAAGACGGTCCTCACTATACCTCAACTCTTGAAGACCGTCAAGGCGCCAGAGTATGATCCGCCGGATTGGGAGAACGACTATGTTGTTCTTGGGGTCATCTGCTCCAAGTCGACACCACAAAACTCCAAGAACGCAGCAAAGGACCAGACCAAGGGCAACCAGGATAAGAACCTCGATCAGAACGGCAAGTTCATGGTCATCCGTCTGACAGATCTCAAATGGGAGCTTGATCTCTTCCTGTTCGACACTGGCTTCTCGCAGTTCTGGAAACTCCCTCTCGGCACGCTTGTTGCTATCCTCAACCCGGACATCATGCCACCACGGAACCGCGACACCGGCAAGTTCTCACTGAAGTTATCAAGTTCAGACGACACCATACTTGAACTTGGCACCGCGCGAGATCTAGATTTTTGCCATGCGCAACGAAAAGACGGCAAAGAGTGTGGTCAGTGGATTGACGGTCGCAAGACTGAGTTCTGCGAGTTCCACATCCAACTCCAGGTCGACAAGGCTAAGAAAGGTCGCATGCAAGTTAACACCATGACTGGGTTTGGTGGAGGACCTGGCGGCGGCATGTTTGGTCGACGCGGTGGCCCGAAAGGCGATGAACTCAAGCGCGAAGGCAAGTATCACGACCGAGAACTCCACGAGACCGTCTACATCGCACCACGACCCGGCGGCGCAGCCAAGCTCATTGATCGCGATCACCAAAACTGGGAAGGCGGAGCAGGCCGAGAAGACCGCTTCCGCAAGCAACTCGCCGAAAAGGAGAAGGAAAGAGAACTAGCGAAGAAGCTCGGCACGATGGGAGATGGCAGTACCGGAGGCGACTACATGAAGCTCAAGGGCGCTGGTACGCAGAACCTCCCCGCAAGAGGCTACACATCGTCGCAAGGTTCCTCAGGCGCAAAGCCCGACAAGCCAGCCGACGTGGACTTTACCAGTCTACTCAACCGTACGTCAGCCGATGTTTCTTTGGCGCCTGTTAAACGTAAACGCACAGCATCGGCAAAATCTTCCAATTCGAGCGACCCCGTCGGTTGGGGATTCAAGTACGGCCGTATTCCATCACCGAAGAAGGACACTTCTTTCCCTTCTGCATTTCGCGGTACACGAGAAGCGAGCCCTGCAAAGAAGAAGGCGCGTCTCTTGCTAGCCGGAAAAGGCATCCGTGAACCTGGACGCGAGAGTCTAGGCGGTCTTGACGCTGGTCTTATTGCTGCCATGGACGACGACGATGACGATGATTTGGAAGTAGTTTAATCCTTTTGGAAAACACTAGGGGAGGCATCTAAAAAAACACAAGGGGAAGGGCGTTTGGGTCACAAGCTCGCTGATTGGCTAGAGCTAAGCGAGCAACGGGGGCATTTCGACTTTTCTGGGCTGATGGATACCGAAGGCTTTAGCGTGGAGCGAAGCCGCATAACGACTTTCTTTTGTGTACTTGTACAATATTATACCCGCTTTGTTACGTTGAAATATACACTGCGTTTACTTTTAAAACGGATTGAAGCGCGTGAGAGACGCGTGCATGCCATTGTCTCTACTGAACATTCCGACGACACACGTGCAACCACATCATCCCAGGAAAGAGCAGGGTCACACTTTCCAACCCCAAATCACACCAACATGGCAACCTCAGACGTCAAACCCTCGGAGAAGATCTACGCCCTCATAAACTACGAAGACCCCTACGTCCAACCCCTCATCCTCGCCGCCCTCCAAAAGCGCCTACCCGAATCGTCATACGAATTCATCACCTCAGTCTCTCAGCTCCCCAGCCCCTCACCCCGCCTTCTCCAATGGGTCCAATACGAATCCATCGACTTTGACCATCTCTTGGAAAACTCCTCCACTTCCCTCGCCAACGCCTACGTAATCCGCAAAGCGCTCATCCGGAAACACTACCTCAGTACCACGATTGCAAATTGGATTACCAAGTACCCGGATAGTGTGTTGAAGAGGCACGTGAAGCCGAGTGTGGAGTTTGAAGTTGACTACGCCGAGTTTTTGGATGATGCGCTTGTGGAGGCGTGGGAGTTGAAGGAGAGTTGGGCGCGGAATGAGGGGCAAGAAGAGGTGGAGAAGAAGGAGTGGTGGATCTTGAAACCGGGGATGAGTGAGCGGGGGCAGGGGATCCGGTTGTTTTCGAGTGAGCGGGAGTTGACTGAGATATTTGAGGAGTGGGATCCTGAGAGTGATGATGAGGAAGAAGAGGAAGATGAAGATGAAGAGGGACATGCGAGAAGTGACGCCGGCGGCGGTGGTGAAAATGGTGAGAGGAAAGAAGTACAAGAGAAGGAAGAAGGCAACGGTATCATAACATCACAACTCCGCCACTTCATTGCACAACCTTACATCCACCCACCTTGCCTCCTCACACCACCCAATGCTCCTTCGTCAGAACTCCGCAAATTCCACATCCGCACCTACGTCCTCGCCACCAGCGCGCTGCAGGTCTTCGTCTACCGCCCCATGCTCGCCCTCTTCGCTGCACGCCCCTATGTTCCTCCGTGGAACAACGTATTGCAGGAAGACCGCGACGAAGCTATGCGAGCGCATCTAACGAATACATGTCTACAAGAAAGCGGGGATAGAGAAGGAAGCGTAGGCTTATTCTGGGATCTACCCAACAATATACCCCAACAACCCGAGGGGCTGGAATTGGACGTAAAGTCTGATTGGAAAGACCTCGTCTTCGAGCAGATCAAGGCTACCACAGGTGCGACGTTTGAAGCAGCAGCCCGCGGCATGTCAATCCACTTCCAACCTCTTCCCAACTCTTTCGAAATCTTTGGCCTGGATTTCATGGTGGGCATTGAGGAGGATGGTAGCTTGAATACGTATTTGCTGGAGGTGAATGCGTTTCCGGATTTCAGGCAGACGGGCGTGGAGCTAAGTGGTATGATTCAGGGGCTTTTTGAGGGGGTTGTGGAGAAGGGGGTGTTGCCGTTCTTTGGGGTGGGTGGCGAGCGGAAGGATGGAGAGGATGGGATGGTGAAGGTTCTGGATGTTGATCTTGGACGGCGGTGAGGAGGATTAATATGGGTAGGGCGATGTTGTGGGACCGATTGGGGTGTAGCAGCGGGTGGTGGACGTGATGATGATCATCATCATTACTACAAAGATCGTATTGATTAGATCCTCGAACGAGCAGCGCACGCCATGGTCTCGCTGTTGTCGTTTTTGGGAATCCACCAGCTCAGAAAGAGAGAGCACGCCCATGCGCTTGGTGCCGACTTTGTTTTTTGGACTCCAGGATTGGAGTTGTTGTAAATAGGAGAAAGACAAAGCCCCTCAGGCTCATTTGTACAAGTCTTAGTTTTGTATCAGGAACATGAACGGCTCCCATTCCAGTTTATACAGCGCGAGCAGCGCACTTCATCGTTTCTCGAGCATACTTATGGATCACAACCAAGAAAGGAAGAGCAGAGCACAAGCCATGGTTTACTTCGTTCCACACTTTTTGTTCTTCAGGAACGGCGATGCAGTAGGGAAGAGAAAGACAGAACGCAGAGCGGTATCTATGAATCTCACAGCCCTTATCCAAGAACATCATCAGTTTCTCTCAAAGTTTTTGGACAGCGCGAGCAGCGCACTCCATTTCGAAGTTGACGATGCGTTTTGGAAAATAGCTCAGGGAAAAAGAGCAGACCAGAAGCCATGATGTAGATCACCATATGTTTTGGAAGCCGGGCTTAGGGGGTTGTGTTGAAGAGAAAGGCAGACCCAAGAGCGGTATTTATACACATTCTTGCTCTACGCCGAGACCATGTCGCACTTGTAACTAGATTTAAACAGCACGAGCACTGCTCTCTCATGTGATGTTGCGGGAACGCTGTTGATGTTTCGACAGTTCAGTCCTCTTCATACTCCAGAGCCGCTCGATTTTGAAATTGCTATCTTTCTCCAATCTGTGTCATATCATCGCCTGACACGTTTTTGAATCGTCTCAGAACCATGCGGAAGGACCGGATTTGTTTCGATGAAGTAGGTGCACTCTAGCAATCCGAGCCATCAACCTCGTCGCTCCAGCTTTTGACTACGAAAGCGTGTCTTTGGTGTAGGAGGCCGGAGAACCACCAGAAACAGACATATCAGTGTCGATGTCATGATTCTGGGTATATCCGACATAAGGACAACCGCTGTTGTTTTGGAAGTCGAAGGGAGGAGCAGACATAGCGGAGTCCAGTCGAGTCTTTTGGATCGAACAACATATGACCCACTAGCAAGCATTTTGATATATTGGAGGAATGTTTGAGAAGAGAGGAAGCTCGCAGCTAGCACGGCGTTTTATATCTCCAGAACAAGACTATCTTCTGGTATAAAAGAGTGGAAGACTGTCCGAAGCGAACATTGTTTTTCTAGATGCCTATTTTGGATACTGCAACCCGTACATGAAGGCCGCTATTGTTTTGGAAGTCGAACGGAGGAGCAGTCATGAATGTTAGAGCTTGTGTTTTGAATCGAACGACATGGCGCCATCGTCTTCCTAACTTTCGTAAAAAGGAGGAGGCTTTAGGAGAGAAGAAGCTCGCAGATTCTACCGCATTTTATGACCTCTGTCTCACGCTGTCACGTGGTACAGAAGAGAGGAGGATTGTCTGGAAAGAGACATTTCGTTGTTGATTTTCTCTTTTGGGCACATGTACAAGTGGTATCGTGTTTTTTGGGTGGAAGGACGAAACATACATGTCTTCTTCAGTTCGTGCTCTTGAACTCAACAGCATAAGAGGTTAGGATGCCTATTTTAATCTAGCAGAGAAGGATTTTAGTAAGAGAAGAGGTTCTTAGAGATGTAATACTTCTCTCTTTAGTAGAGTATCTTCTTACGTATAAGTTATATAGAATATAAGAGTTATAGTTAGCTTATTATCTCTAAGTTACTTTTAGGTTATTATTATAGTACTATAAAATAGTAATACTAAACTATAAGCTTTAAATTCTACGTATATAGTAATAAGTTAAAGAGAGAAGTATATAAAGTATACTATAGTATCTTTATTACTTCTATAATATATATATAATTATACTACTTATACTCTTTTTCTTTATAATAGTAATTATTCTTATAATTATTTACCTTAACGTCTACGCTTATTTAGCTTACTTACTAACTTTATATCTTACTAGTAAACTTATTATAAAAATACTTAGTATTTATTAGTAACTTTACTTATTACTTTTAGCTTAAAGAATATAAAATATAAAATTATACTTACTCTTTCTAAGTACTTAGATAAGTATATATAATACTTATTTATTAGATATACTACTTACTACTTATATAAAGATAACTCTAGTAGCTAGAGCTTTTTTTTTAGCTAAAAGATTAGCTATATAAAGTCTACTTTTTTACTTTTAATAATACGCCTATATACTTACTTTAGTAAAGACTACTTTTATAAGCTAAATTAGCTTTTATAGTAATAATAAATAATATATAAGAACTAATATTATCTTTATACTTTATAGTTTATAAGTTTTAATATAGTATAAAGTTTAAGCTACTTAAGCTATCTACTTAAGATAGTAGGAACTAGTATATAAAAGGTAGTATTACTTAGTATAGAAACTAAAATTAAGTAATAAATTATATTTTAAAATAAATTTAATAAATTTAATTATATAGGGCTGAAGCTTTAGTAAGAAGAGAGCTCGCAACTTCTACTGCTTCCATGGCTTGAGCTAAAGACTGCTTTCTGGATGCAACAGAGAGGTTCGGCCGGAAAGAGCCATCAGTCCGGTTGTCCTAATCTTTTGAACGCAGGTCACCAACATGTGGGTCTATTTGGGGGGTGATCGCAGGAGCAGACATGGCTAGCGATCATCCGGCGTTTTGGACGGAACGACATACACGCGCGAACTTGTTGTTTTTGATAAGAATAAAGCATGCTTTGAGGAGAGAGAAAGCTCGCAGCTTCCACTGCTCTTATATCCCCAGCCTGTGAGTGTCTTGGCAGCCGGTGGTGCTTGAGTAATACGCTATGACTAAGACGATGACACTGACGAAAACATGACTAGTATGTCATCGTTTTTGAATCTATATCAGGGCTGATGGAAATGAAGTGGCTTTTCAACCTTGACGGCAAACATAGGTGTAGGTACTGCGTATTTCCATGAAAGTCGCCATTGCGAATTTGAGTCGAAAAAGTGCAGCACGCTCATAGTAAGGCCTCATCCCAGTTTTGGTGAGCGAGAAATGTGCGAAGCTCTTCGAGAGAGATCCCATGGCGTCCAGCCGTAGAACTTTTGGAGTCAAACAACTTGGATATGACATTGCTCAATTTTGATAGATGGCCTGCGCACTGGGAAAACACAGAGGACATTTAACCTTCTCTTGTGAGTTTTAGTCTGAGATGTAACGATCTGAGAAAGAAGTCATGGAAGTCGATCTTGTGGAATGCTGGACATCACGTTGTTCTTTCGCGTTTCCTGCCCGGCCTCTGAGAGAGCCAGAAGCATGGCTTTGGTATTGGCTGCTTTTTGTTATTCATGGCGAGAAGAAGAGTGGAAGAAGAACAGAAGGAGAAGACATTCAAGCTTCCCGGAGCTTTTTCTGGTGCTCGGTCTCGCAGAAACCAGACATATGGGGGTTTTGCAACGCTTTTGATTTTAGAAATGAGCGGATTGAATGGTTGAGGAAGGAGAGAAGAAGCAGTAGCTTTTATTTATCCTCAGGACCGACGCCAGCTTATTTGGAGCTTGCGTCTAGCTTTCCAGTTATTTAAACGTGTCCAAGGGATTTGCATAAGCATGTGCACAGCGACATCGTGAGAACCGATCCATTCTGTCCATGAACGTGATGCTTAGTGTTGATTTTGGATGCATATCAGATAGAGACAGCAAAAGCAGTGAGTTGCTCATATGATCTTTCACCCAGACTTTCGACATGGTTTCTTTTTCATTATTCTTGCCGCTCGAGAGAAGATCAGGCCATTTGATATTGCCCGTAATGACTTTTAATTCCCAGAACCTGCCAATTTTTCTCACTGCTTTAGGAACTTTAGCATTTTAAAGCGTTCAACACATCCAATACTCGTCGAAGAAGTTTTAGAGTTTGGGTAGTTCTGATGCTTTAGAACGGGAGGAAGAAGCAGATGTCTTATAGCAGAAGCGACAGAGCCGACGGCCCCATCAGAAACCGAGCATTGACTTCTAGAAGACTAGCGGACTGGATTTTGCTCGTCGGTCTGCTGCATGGTAGTCTTATATGCAGTATTAGTATCGGTGGAATGCATGTCGAATGCAAAGCTCGCAATGTTAACACGCGCAGAGTTACTCGACACATCGAACGATCTCCTTTTCGTTTTGTATGTTCTTGGAATCTGCTCAAAAGCAGACAACATCATGAGCCTTAAGTAGAGTTTTGGTAAAAGGCAAGTGCAGTGTGATGAGGAAGAAGGTCAGCCAGATGGCGGGGTTGATATAGTCCTTAGACGCTAGCGGCCCCGCCTTCCCACCGCATCATGACCAATACCCACATCACTACGACTCTTATCATGATAATGCTAGGCTGTTCATCTTTTGACTAGCCTCTACATCCGACGCAGTGATTGCCGAAAGACTAATGCGTCGAAACTCCGACACGTTTAAACGCCTTGGGAGTTTTGAACATGACCATTGCGAACTCATTGCACTCATACACCAAGATATGCACAACGAATACGGAGCCCATGGAAGGTCCTATTTCATTGTTTTGGGATTTTCACACCGAAGCAGCATGGAAGAGATACTGTCCGCTTTCATATCTTGCCAAGAAGAAGGACACAGCCATGGGATTTCGCCATTTTGATTTAAGTATTGTTGAAGAAATTGCAGATCCTCAAAACATTGGGTCTCATGTTGAGGCTTTTGGAAAATTATTCACGAGGAGTGTGTGAGTGAGGAAGCGAGCAGCAGTTCCGGTGGAAGACTTTATACACAGTCTGCCGACACTTCGCAGTAACGCGGCATGACTTAGAGCTTGCGTGGACTGAATCATGTAGCGATGTATCGATGTTTTTTTGGGACCGCAGCAAGTCCATGCGTAA